GCTTCAAAAAAATATTAATGCAAATGCAAGGTCAATAAACAGACTTAGCGTGTCACTTGCTATGTACTAAAATAGCAATTGTTTGTATCCACCCTTTAGAATTTTGTGCACCACCCTTAAAATTTTGAGGAAATTTTCTGAAATTTCACCATTCTTCAAAAATCCTGGTGAAAGGGTTGCCATGGGGAACATAAGACAATGAAGAGGGTGAAAACAGTTCCATAATAAAAATAAATAAATTTGACAATGTTAAGGAGAACCTCAGACAACAAGAATTCCCCTTAAAATATGTTTTAAATGTAGTAGTAGTATCCGACGACAAGCAATCAAGAAAAAACTAAACTGAAACAACTCTCTCGACACGAAATGTTTAGTGTATCATACAGACGTTTAAATACCTGCCTCTGACCACAAGCAACCAAGATAAGACTAGACAAGAACGACTCGCTTGACACGAAAATTTTAGTTTATTATTAGTTAATTTTCAAACATTCAAATACCTCTGACCGCAAGCAATCAAGGAAAGACTAGACAAGAACAAACCCGCGCGATACGAAAAGTTTAGTGTATTATACAAACGTTGAGACCGCTACACAACGGCCTTTGCTTCGAGATTTGAGCATGAAGGCAAGGCAAAAGCAGCTTTCTTAGCTACGTTTTTTGTCCGCTGATCGGTTAAAAACGTATTTCAATTTTATTTTATCACTGAAAAACAACTACTGTAAAATGTTTAGCCCATAAATATAATGTGTGTGAAGAAAACATTAAACAATATTTTAATTTGGACCTTCAAAAAGCAGTTAAAAAGAAATGGCTATGAAATTTTAGGGTGGGGGGAGCTAAAGCCTGTTTAGCCCCCCTCTAAATCCGCCCCTGAAATATTTATTTCATTTGTTTACGGCCTACTTCCCACCTCCGCTAGGCCTACTATCGGTGAATTTCCGAATAATGAACCATTTTATAGAGATATTATGATAAACTTGGCAATTGAACGTCTTATTTCCCAGGTATTATAGACGATCGATCCGAAGATAAAATAAGGTTTTACTAGTATCTTTTTTTAAATTTTATTCTGAAATCATTACATGTAAGCATAATTAACCTTTTGAAGCAAATTTAAATAATAATTTAAAAAATATCTGAAAACAACAGTGAACATATTATTATTTCCACTTACAGCCGCATTATATTTTTTAATAAAATAACATTTCCTTTGCTGAAATTTGAATTTAAAACAAGATTTTCCATCCTCCATTTTCCATTTTTATAGCTTATCTCTGCCAATTAATAAAATTAAATTTTATTCCCTTCTCCTTACAATTACGAATTCCGAAAATACTCATGTCTTGGTCGTAAATAATATTGATTTCAGTTTTTTTTCTTAATCCATAAAATTATACATTGGAAGAATCCCTCGGATTTACCAATTTTAAAAACATTTTATGACCTAAAATTCTATAGGCCCGGCCCGTAGCGTGACATAATTTGTAGGAGGTTCTTTTTAGTGGAAAGTGGACCCTTTGGAAACCATTCCAAAACCACAACACAGAAGTAAACTTAGTGATTTGTCTTATTTATTATTAGCAGACATTATTGTGTTGTATACCGTAATCAAACAACAGTGAACATATTATTATTTCCACTTACAGCCGCATTATATTTTTTAATAAAATAACATTTCCTTTGCTGAAATTTGAATTTAAAACAAGATTTTCCATCCTCCATTTTCCATTTTTATAGCTTATCTCTGCCAATTAATAAAATTAAATTTTATTCCCTTCTCCTTACAATTATGAATTCCGAAAATACTCATGTCTTGGTCGTAAATAATATTGATTTCAGTTTTTTTTTCTTAATCCATAAAATTATACATTGGAAGAATCCCTCGGATTTACCAATTTTAAAAACATTTTATGACCTAAAATTCTATAGGCCCGGACCATAGCGTGACATATTTGTAGGAGGTTCTTTTTAGTGGAAAGTGGACCCTTTGGAAACCATTCCAAAACCACAACACAGAAGTGAATTTAGTGATTTGTCTTATTTATTATTAGCAGACATTATTGTGTTGTATACCGTAATCTCCGATACTCTGGAGAACATTGTAAATATAGCTTATTATCTAGGCTTAAGCAAAAAAATAGGCCTAGTTTTTCCGTCCCAGCCATTTCCGGCCATCTACTAGGGCCTAGTCTAGAAGTCCCAATTTTTTTTTAAATCTCGTTTTGGGAGTAGGGGACATCCCTCTCCCATACCCACCCCCGGCTCGGGCCTTCGGGTCTCAGATAACACTGTGCACTAAATAGTTACACCCATAAATACTTAGCCCCCCAGTCGGACATCTTAGCCCCCACCCCTCCCATAAATTATATCCTAGAGCTGTCACTGGTCTGGCCTTGATGATTTATTATTGAAAGTATCTTAATGTCTTCATTTGACATGAGAAGTGTAGTATTTTTGACTGACCAATCTCTTGTATCCATTGCTCTCTGTACAAGGTACATCAACAAATATTTATAAATTCTCTTGCTTCCCTTCGTATCTTTTAAATTGTTTTAAATAAAATTCAAATTAAAAAATAACCGATAATCCGTATTTTCTTTATCTGTCAAAATAATTTCTACATTAAGAATATTTAAACCGTATACTTTTCGCATAGTACCGGTATGTAAATCATAAAAGCTTCCATTTCATCAATAAGTTGACCAACAATTCTAATCCCCTCATAAACCCAATTAGGGTACTGTAATATATAACTTTACCTCCTACTTTTATTTTGTCCTTGTATCCAAATGCTAGTTCTATATATAGTTTCGTTTGTGTCTGGTGTATGTATATCAACAAAATTATTCCATGGGTTGTGTACATCAATCCAAAATATATTGGGAAATTTGACCTTTTCAATTTGCTTTTTAAAAAAAAAAACATTGAGCCTCCGTCCAACGAAAAGAAATTATAAATTTCTCAGATGCACTTAAAAATATACCCCCATGCCTTGATTGTTAATAAGTCTACTAATCCAACTACTTTAAAGCCTAAAGGAACAATGAACATCGGCCATTTTTAACACCCCAGCCTTGTAGTCTTTACAAATCTGGTTTCTGGAAATACGATCGGTTCTTTTCCATATGAAATCGTAGGCCTATTGTATTTTTAGTTCAATCATGGTTCAATTAAAATATAAGGGGGCGGGGTGGGATTGGGGAGACTCAATACCAAGAACACAGGTTTATATAAAACAAGAGACTTAACAACAGTAATGTTTCCCATAACGGAAATATTTCTCTTAATCCTATGTGAAAGTAAATTCTTCACCGAGACAATCGCTTTACGATAGTTAATTTCAATCGTGTTCTTTAAAATTGGGAGGGGGATGCTTAAGCCCCCCTGTGCCCGCTGGCACCGCCACTGCTCATTACATTTTTGCCGAAAGGCGAAAAAGAGAGATTTGATTCGATGTCCCATTTAGAGACAAAATTAAATTTTCGTTTTGGAATGATGTGAACATGCCTCTTTACGGCGGCTAGGTAATCTCAGAGCGCACCACGCAATTCAGCACAATGACGTTTGCGAGTTATGGGCTATTTCGTACCTTTACCTTCAAATTTGTTCGTTCATAACTACTTTTGTTGTTTGAATGGTGCATCAAAATACAACGATTTATTGATTGATTTGTATTGCTTAAATTTGCGGAGTTTCATTGGAGCAAAACAATACTTGTAACCGACCGTACAGTGCACACAATTAACGATGTACACACAAAATGTACGAAAATTACGAAAAATCATTTTTATTAATACGATTGTATCGTTTTTCCATGATTATGACGTCATTCGATTTTATTTGTGAAAATATTTTATTACCGTATACACGATAAATCGTTATTGAATCATGCTAGTGCGAAAACTTCCCTTATTTCTTTTATTTTCTATATGAACAATTGCTGTGGTAGTGTAAACATGGCTTAAAGCATGTACGATGGACGAAAATCGGGATGTAAACCATGTACGATGCATGGGAAAATCGATATACAGTATTTAATAGTCCTACAATATAATGTATGTTTTTAATGGCACTGATGTTGACGTAAAAGTTGATCCATTGTTGAATAGTGCCACACAATACAATTTTATAAATGACATTGACATTGACATAAATGTTGATATATTTTTGAATATAGAGTTGTATAAAATGGCATTGGCATTGGCCAGAATAGCCTTTTCGACTTTAGTTAACTATGAATTGACTTAACTTAAGCTTGGTTTCCATACAATCGCTACAACCCATCTCCGAAAGCTTTTGGTGAATGGTGATGCTGATTGGTTGAATTACTAAAATTGTATCTTTACTATCTCCACCAATAGACTATCATTATCATCAATCATATATCATCATCATCATCATCATCATCACCATCCTTATTATCATGTTCATTATTTTATCAACATCAGCATCATTATGACTACATGTCAAACACAAAAATGCAATTATGCTTATTGCAACATACACAGCCAAAAGAAAACCAGTTATTTACTTCACAAGATCCACAATTTTAATAATATAACACTTTATCTAATCATTTATATAATATTGCTTAATTTAATTTCCCCTAGGCATTTGTAACCTATCACAAATATACTAATTTGTTCATGTACTAACAAAACTCACTTAAATATATAATTTCAACTCCATACATAATGTATTGTTTCACAGAATATATACTATATTTAGAGGAAACTATGGTTTGGCATTAGTTCCAATGTTCTGGTTTGGCATCATAAAATTATATTGTTGATGCGCTCACCTAACAATACTTGCACATTTTCAGAGAGTGACTCTTGCACAATAAAGATGATTACAATCTTTATATAATATCATTCTACCACAGATACAATATTCAATCTTTTCTAATAATATTTGCAGTGCTATAAAATATCATAGTACTCTGTGTCATTTATTACAGAACCACAATGAAGAATATCTTTGAATTTATAAAGGTCACAGACTGTTTAACACGGACTTCTTTTTCTAAATTTAACTCGCAATAAGATCCTGGTCTCTAAACATTACTAGTACAAACATTAATGATTGGCCGATAACAATCTTCCACGATATATGTATTGTCCGATGAAAAATACAAAATCAATGAAAAAACAATTAAAGTTTGAAATAATCATTTTGTAATTTTGAAGACTCTACATCAAGAACGTTTCTTATAAGCCATTAACTTTTTTTTTTCAGATGGTGTTATTACAGTCCGTTTTCAAGTGATCATGTGTCGCAAATGAGTTTCACCAGCCATGACATACACGTCAACATTTTGTTGGATTGTACATTTACTACATAAGAGTGATGTTATGCCCTACCCGACGTTTTCGTAAGTATTTGGGAACGTACTGAGTATAATGTGAAGCGCTTAGATGCCTGGTTGGCATGAAGCGACATATAAGTCTTAACATATTATTGTTTTCTAGAAACGCTTCCAATATCTGATATATATTCTAACAACAATCACTGTTTAATGCCAATAGCATTATAATTATATAGAGTATTGCCTAAAGACATTTCTACTTCCTATTTCACAAGTATCAATATCAATACAACAATACCACACTGTTGACAGAAGGTACTGTACCAAATTGAAATGACAGTTGCTATAAAAATTTCATGAAAGCCAAGTCAAGACTATCAAATTACATTTGACAAAAACATGTCGCATGCCTAAATATGGTCATGATGACATCACATCATGACCATATATAGGCACATCATAACCATATATAGGCACATCATGACTATATAAGGGGAAACAACAGTTCTTTCTGCCAAAGAAAATTTGATAATCTAGCAAGAACATAACACTATGTTCTGTACAAGCATTAAGATCTAGAACCTTCCAGTGTGCACATTAAGTACCACTGAATTTCACCATTTTTTCGAGTTGATTTAATATAAAACAAAAACAAGTTCTTACGGAATGCATGCTGATGACATACCAAACATAAAATGAATACAAAAATCCCAATTTATAGTCCCATGTTTTTTTTTTCTTCTTTTTCTCCTTTTACCAATGTACTACTGTAATATATTAATACCAGTACATTATTGTTCTGTTACATCCACCATACCAAAATAATGTCGTTATGTTAAATTAATTACACCATTCAACTTGAACACAACACAATTATTGTCATCCTCTTGTTTGTTTTTGTTTATTTCATATGAAATTAAGTAATGAATAAATTATTATTATTACATCAATGTTTAGCATCTCTGGGATAAAATTCAGCAAGTGTTGTCTGTGGAATTCTTTTGAGCATTTCCTTCGGGAATATACGGAGCAGCTGCCAGCCGACATCCAGAGATTCAAACACTGTTCTATTTTCATATGACCCTGCAGTGATAAATCAGATGGAAATAAAATTAATGGTTAAGAAATTTTACAAATTATTTTTATTTATTTAGGCACACAACACATGTACCAAGGATTGTCAACAGCAAATATATCCCTGTTCTACTTGTAGGTGACAATCTCTTTCGCAAGACAAACATACACACACAATGCTTTACACAAACTAAATCTCAATATGAGGTTTAGGGAGTGGAGTTGTTTGGTCGTGGGAAAAAATCCTGCAACACTGACAGGCATTGAACCCATGACCTTGGGATTGGAAGGCAAACATCTTAACCACAAGCTATTCAACTCCATTCCATATAAAAATGTAAATTAGTTTACAAAACAAGTATATCCTTTGGAACAGCGCCACCAATAAAAAAAACGCGAGCTTCCCCATTCCCACTGTTGCTGTCTGGTCATGCACTTCCTAGCAAGCGCATGCTGCTCTGATTGGAAAGTATCTCAATTGCAGACGACTGATATTTCTCGATTAATAGGATATTTTATTTGATTTATTCGTTTAAATATTTTCTTAATTGGCTGCAATAAACATTTTACTTTCTTTTGCAATTTAAAGCATTTTTGTATTATTCCTAATGTCGTTATTGCCACAAATTGCAAAGTGGGAGAGAATTTAATAAAACCTAATATGGGTAGTAAGAGGCACTATAAAAGATGAAAACAAATTATTTCATCTAAAGATAGAATAAAAGTGAATAGTATCCATACCTTGTGCAATGAAGTTCTTTTCGAATTTACCCAAGAATTCAAGGTACAGCAGATCCTCCGGTGTAAGAGCTTCTTCACCGACCACAGCCTTCATTGCTTGCACATCTTTCCCAATAGCGTAATTAGCATACTAAAAAAAGACATGTGAAATATTATGCAAATATGCTCATTATTTATGCGTAAAAAAGAAATATATATATTAGTTCTATGTCTGCTCAAACAAACTATGGCAAAAGAGTTAAGCATATACAATTTGTATACAGTTATAATTTACCATTCTGGTAAGCCTAGCACTTGGAGACTGTTGCTAAGGTCCTACACAATGATAAACAAGTTTTGTTGTGGGACAAGTATGTACTTCTGCCCTGTTCTGATTGGTCAGTCGTTAAAAGCAATCTTATCCCAACGTTGAGACAACCAAGCAATAGTTTTTACCTCAAAAACCTTATTTCTACACATGGCGTACCGAAAGCTCTGATTTTGTTATTCTATTTCCGTAGTCAAACAAATTATTTTCGCCTGTATGCAAATTTCATGAATAATTTAACCTAATTAACATAACTCACCAATTGATTTGAGACGTCAGAATGGTCTCTCCTTGTCATGCCTTCACCAATAGCAGATTTCATAAGACGTGATAGCGAAGGTAAAACGTTAATTGGTGGATAAATCTAGCAGAAAAACAAACCAAAAACTATGAACTTCCTCTAAATAATATTTTATACACGCAGATGCTATTTTTACAAAAGTCTTAAACAAATTCCTAATTGGATGTTATTGTTTGTATGTACTGGATTAGGGCAATAACATCCAATCAGAATTAGGATTCTGTTTAATTCTGGTGCAACATTAGCCACTGCCTATTGCATATCACGTTTGTAAGTAGAGTTTAAATAGTGAAAGATTGCGCTTATTTCTTTACCATGCATCACTACCTGAACAGCAATGCTGTTAGAAATTTATTGTTTAATATTATATTAAATATCCATTCCATAGCAAACCGCTCCATTTTTTCCCTTCCTACAATTTGAATTTGAATAGTGTAGATCATGAACCTTCCATATTAACTTTGCCCAATGTAACACACTTAAATAATCTTTTTTTCAATACCATAGTGGCCATTTGGAATAGTCTGCCAATTGAAATATGAAACTCAACTTCCTTAAACAACTTTAAAATAGATACTACGCGTATATTATGCGTATATTCAACAGCAAAATTAATGAAATTTATCTGAATTTATATGTCTAATATTTTATGTCATCATCGTTTTTTGGGCAGATGAAACCATTTTGGTGATAGGAGCTTGTTCCTCCTTCATCTGACCCCCTCCTCTGTATGGTTTGTTCCCTTGATCTTTTATTGGAGGAAATAAATATATTATTATTATTATTATTATTATTATTATTATTACTATTATTACTAGCATTCAGTATGAAATCAAACTATATTTAAACCAAACCTAATAACAAAAAGTAAATGTAATGTAACACCACCAAATAATACATTGTACATCCTTGGAAAAATAGCATAAGGATTTGGAAGCAACTGTAGATTAATGGTTAAATATTAATATTTAAAAAAGCATTTTGCTTGAGTTGGGTTAACAAAAAAAATATATAAAAGCAAAATGCTGGTATGGTGTTACAGAGAAAAAGTGAATTGGCAAACAATTAAAAAAAAAAAGCCAACAGCTTGAACTTTTGAAAATACCAGCATAAACTATTGGAATGTGAATTCATGCAAGTTTTTTTTAATTAATGCACAGGAATGAAAAATACTGCATCACCACCAACAGGAGGCATTATGCATTTCCCTGAAAACCTGAATTCTGACAAATTCTCAGACCACTGTTGGGCAATAGTGAATAGAAACCATTTGGTTAATATATTTTTGAGGTGGTGCAGGGAGACGGGAAATGGGGAGGGGTTGCACAAAAATTTGTTCTCCAGACTTGTGGAGAGAGAGAGAGACGTGGCGAAAAAATAAAGCGGGAAGAAAATATGAAACATAAAACATCGAGTGTAAGTGTATCCAAATCAAATGAGAGCATCACACTTGCCATCCCAAGACAAAGAGTACTGTTGCTAAACTAAGTAATTAGCATAAGAATGTGACAGTATTATATAATTTAGTACAGAGAAGCTGTAATACTTTTACTTATGACTTTGGCAATAGTACGTCAATTCCAGTATATGACCCACCATTTTAAAGTATATAATGTGGAGAATAACAATATATTGAAATGTAATTTTTAATTTTTTGGTCACTGATGTTGGTTTTGGGATGACAAGTCTTGTGCATCATAGACATAAAAATCTGATAATAAAAGTGAACATGAATGCGAGACCATTAAACGTTATAACTATCATATTAGGGAGGTTTCGCACGCAGAACGTGTGACAGATACGTCATCATTTTGACGCCATACACCGGCTGCTATCTGCTAAACTTGTGGACGACACGCATATCTCGCTAAACAAGGTATAAAAAGGGTAAAAAATAAATGTATTTTGAATACATATGTGCCATTTTTGTGACATTTGAAGACAGGAAATTACAATAGGATGCGTTTTCATTTTGGGGTATCAAAACGTCGGTGCTTTGACCTTGGTGGTGTCAGGATTTTGTGTAGGCCTAGGCCGACTTGAAGCTAGCCAGGCACTTTTGGGATCATAAACAATAGGGCCTATCACAAAATAACAAATTTTTCTGGGCAACAAAGGAAGTATTTTTCGGCTACAATTTTCAACCTTAGATATACTTTAATAAAACTTTGAGAAGCATGATGAGAGAAGAAAACAAGGTATTATATAGGCCTAGGCCCTAAGCTAAGGCCCTAGGCCTAGGCTATGCTTGAATTGCGCTGTGATTGCGAAAAACACAGAATGGCTATGAACCGCTACGAATAGCTAAACATTTGCGTACACATATTTGTTCGCGTGCGAAACCTCTCTAATAAGTATACAAACCTGACGATTATGTAACTGCCTGTCAACGTAGATCTGTCCTTCTGTAATGTAACCGGTTAAATCTGGAATTGGATGGGTAATGTCTACACAAGAAAAAACAAAATAACAATTGGATGATTAGTTAAACAATTTAAGATTTGTATTAATTTATTGTTGATATAGACATCATAAGCCAAGTCCTGACTGACACAATTTGCATTGACAAACTGGTTTTAATCACATAAACTTTGAAGAATATAGTGCACTAAGGGTGAAAGTATAGGAAATATTATGGTTTTAAAATGACCAAATGAGAGTGTGCAAAATAAATGGTACTGAAGGTCAGTATGATTGTTCAAAATCATGATTTAAAGCCAGGCTCCATAGAAAAAAAAAACTGATATGTTTTAGACATAAAAAAGCGTTTTTGACTTGAAAATTAGATCTAGTTTTGGAATATTTTAAAAATGGGGAGGGGGGAAGGGTGGGAAAAAAGAGTGGTTATGCCCCCCCCCCCACTTGCCCAGTTTTCAAATATTAAAAAATCTGTATCTCATTAACCGTTCCCAAGTTTTTCATGAAATATGCTTTTTGTGTTTAAAAAAATCAGTTATAAAGCATATCAAAATTTTCTTTCCTGCAGGGCCTGGCTTTAACAGGATGATACTATATAAATGGAAAGCCTAAATACCAATAAAAATATCAAAAGTTAAAAAATAACATTGAATAATAAAAATAAAATAATTATTATAATGAAGTGGAAATCAGTACGTATAAATCTAATAATATTACATACATTATGTAGTTTGAAAGGTGAAGTCAGTTTATGAGAGAGTTATTTAACATTATTTTTCGAACTCAACATGACAAAGAACTCACCATCGTTTGGCATAGTGAGAATTGGAATTTGTGTGATTGATCCATTCCTGCCCTCAACCCTTCCAGCTCTTTCGTAAATGGTAGCTAAATCGGTGTACATGTAACCAGGGAAACCACGCCTTCCTGGGACTTCTTCACGAGCAGCTGATACCTAGCAATGCCAGATGTATTAATAAACATTAATAACCAAGAATGCTATTCAATTTGTCTTTTATTTTACGCATTATTCATTATTTTGTTGCTGCAGCTGTTATTTTATTTTTCATTTTTCATTTTATTTCACCAAAATCCAATGGTGACATATGTCGCCCATAACAGGATATGACATAAAATTTTACATTATATAACATCAAAATCTAAAATATATGAGGAAAAACAATAAACTCCAAAGAACAAAAGGTCTTTAGTTTTATTATTTATCTATCTATACTACTGGTTTAAAAAATTTGTGACAGTTACAAAATATAATTTCACAATAAAACAAACAAAAAACATAAATTTTAGGAATTGCTTTTTAAAATTTTGTCAATTTCTGTTAATCCAAGATATTTTGAAGAATATAAAATGCTATATTCCCATTGAATGTTTCACCTGTGATAGCAACAATGCTTATTCATGGATGTTGGTTTATACACCTATGACCTAGCCATGATGACCTTTGTATGGTGCCTGGAAATCTTGGTTACGTCATTAGTACCTTGTTGGTATCACAGACAAAATGTAAAAGTGGAAGGTAAAATTTTTATATTCTCCAAACATGTCACAACAATACCTTAAGTTTTATTTTCTATTTTGCCTATCGTGTAAATTCAATCTACAGTCTCCAATAACATAAGCCTGCTGTGAATGGTCTTTCTTACCTCACGAAGGGCTTCAGCATAGGAGCTCATGTCCGTCAGGATAACCAACACATGCTTTTCACATTGGTAGGCTAGAAATTCTGCTGAGGTCAAAGCTAAACGAGGTGTGATGATACGTTCAATTCTGTTATGGAAAAAAAAATCAATGAGCTTATTTGGGTTTTTATGCAAACAGCTCCATGATCCATTGATTACATGGAAGAGATCGTAACAGTACATAATCCCCTAATTTTCTTTCCCAGATGTAGTATACACCAATGGGATCAAAATTCTGCAAATGTCTCTCAAGATCAATGGAGTTTAATTTAATATATTAGGGACCAAAATACATCCTGGTTCATTGCACTTTTGGCCCTCCAACCGATTTTTATGCCCACCTTTGCGATGGATAGATGGATTTATTCAGTGTAAACATCAAGGATAACCCATGAAAGTCTGAAGAAGACATATTTCCAGTGAGGTACTTCCGGTGGTAATTCGGCGTACACCAGCAGACAATCCCCTACTCTTTTCCAAAAAGTGTGCTGCGTTGTTTAACATGCACATGGGCTATAATGCACACGAGACTAACAAGTTTAACGTCTCATTGGAAAGATGGTGTGCTATCGTAACTTGCATTTCAGCCCTCCAGCTGAAACACAAGGAGAGAAGCGATGGGACTTGAACCAGATACTTTGAAATCTCCAGGGTTCAGCGCACACAAAGGCTACCACGTGCTTAGCTGACTAAGCTAAGCTTCTCATTTACAGAGAGTTGAGCCCATGAACCTGGGTTTGAAAACAAAGCACCTTAATCATTAAGTTTCTCCACTTCCTCACACATATCATATGTTCCTCATACAACATTTAATAACATGATGGTAAATGTTCCTTACGTTGGATCGTTGGCGAGGTTCAAGAATAAGCACACATTGTCCATAGAGCCATTCTCCTCAAAGTCCTGCTTGAAAAACCTAGCTGTTTCCATATTAACCTATAAAGATAAAAGAATTGTTCATTTATGTTTAATTCTAATTACCGTACCTCCTCCGGTATAACACAAAATTAAGCCCATTTTTCTTATACCCAGGGAATCCACATTTTAATCAAATGGCAATTTTTTGGCATTGTATTAAAAGCCAATATTTGATATTTTTTCTGAGAATATTAGCAAAAATCATGCTCTGGGCCTTTGCCTGAGGAAAAGCTAGTATATAAAATTGGAGGTTGGGCTTAGACATGAGGTAGGTGGTTATACCCAAGGAACTACAGTACTATTATTAATGAATAATGTTACTGTGCTTACAGCATTTTTTTACTCTCTGTATGGTAGCATGTAAGTAATCTAAAACTTATCTATTCAAAAACTTTCAGAGGAAACTCTATGGGTAGACTTACACCCATAGCTGCAAACACAATGGCAAAGTTGTCCTCGTGGGAGTCCATGACATCTTTAGTGGGAAGCTTCACAAGACCTGCCTGCCTACAGATCTGAGCAGCAATCTGTAAGATAACAAATCAAAATTTACATGCATTATTATGTTTTCAAAAAAAGATTTGTAATAAATATTTCCAAAACAACTTTAACATGAACAAGAAAATAAAACACCTGTTTGGTAAAATTCGGGAGATTTTGGTGCTGTTATACTTTTCACATGTGGGCATACTTTACCAGTACCAGAGACTGGCAGGACCGATGTTAAATATTGTATACAGTACTTTACAATGCCTGCGACAGGTATGAGGATCCATGGTGGGTTGCTAGACTTTTATGCTGGTCGGAGGACCGATGGTGGCTATAACTCTCCAGGCTTCGGCCAGAATCTTTTACCAGGCCTGTACAGGAGACCTCAAGTATAAAATTCTCTTATTTACTTTTAATTATAGTTTTTATTCAAATAAACGCCCCAGGGCATGTATTGTTAAGAAGGATTTTGAGGGGGCGTTTGAGGGAGGTATTTATACATCTACAAATATTATTTATTCACAAGACTTGACTTTGGTCACATGTATGACCTAATCCTAGCTCCTTAAAAATCATGTCTCCCCGGACCTCCTTAGAGAACAGCTGGCAGCGCTATTCAAGCATGAAGAGCATCGCTAACAGCATCTATCCCCAGCTTAATTGAATGATGAAGATTCACTGATAGTGGAATAAAACGTAGCAGTGCATATACATTTACTTGGTTTTATATTAAGAACACTACAACCAATACCTACATTAAAAACCTAATGAAACAATTCAAAGACTTACATCATTATGAGGAAGACCAGCAGCAGAGAAGATTGGAATTTTCTGGCCTCGAGCAATACTGTTCATGACATCAATGGCTGAGATACCTGTCTGAATCATCTCTTCAGGGTAGATCCTAGACTGGGGGTTGATTGGCTGGCCTACATATGGACAGAATATTAAAAATAAAATAATAATAACTGGGATTTGTTTAGCGCAGAATACTAATATGCGATGGTGGTTGTTCTAAATATCACAGACCTGCAGTTGTGTATAAATAAGAATTTAATAGTAGTGGTATTACGGAATGTTTCTAATGTAATTTTTAATACTTGATATTGCAAAATATTTTTAATAATGATTTGTATATTTTTAATTGCTAAATTTATAGTAATTTTTTTGTAGTCACACAATGCAGCAAATGCTGCAATGGACTGTTTTTGTATGTCTTTTATGCAATGAATATACATAATGTAATAAGAAATAAAAAGGCCTTTTCAGATTTGTAAAATGTACAAAAATGTATATAAAATTTCTCCTGTGTTGGTAATTTGAAATTTTGAAGTAAAAAGAGGGCGCCCTTCAAACTACATTGCATCTTCACATGATTTTATTTTAATCAATTATATTCTTCAACACAAAAAGAGTAAAGTTTTTCCCTACCAGTTAAAAAATGATGATCATTCAAATTGAATATTACCTGTCAAATGTCTTCTGATAAGTTTCCAAAATTAACCTTTGTTGTGTCTATTATGATGCTTAATGTACCAGCTTATTTATGGATTTATTAATATATAATTTAATAGCGTAGGATGGTGAAAAGATTACACTTACCCATAATATCCAGGTAGTCTTCAGCAAGAACTGGGGGTCCTTTGTCAATTGCTTTACCAGACCCATTAAAAACACGACCTATGGGCATGTGAAAATTGCATTTATAAAATAACATTAAAAATAACATAATATTATTTTTAATATTATTTTAATAACATTTAAAATAATAGTATTCAAAATAAATATTTTTAAAATAATACCAATATGCCTATATTAATAATAATTATATATGCAATACTTTTTATATATACTTTTATAACTATTTTAATCAAAGTTTTGTCCAAGGAAGAAGGTTTTTCCATTGTATTTTATGAATGGAACAAATGAAGTTTTATTTTAATTGAATAAAAAAATAATATTAATAATAATAAAAACAATATAAATAATAATTAAAAAAAATAAAAGGATTTATATGACATTTTTCTTAGTTAGAGGATGCATATATAAGCAAGTGTTCATTGTCTTAGATGTTATTGCAGCCACATTTGTATACCAGGTTGACCAGTTCAATAAAGAAGTTACATTCATACATAACAAAACAAAAAGTGAATATTTCCTAAGTATAAACATTTAAGTTTTTCAACAGCATTCCATTTACCAATTCACACCAACATATTCTATTTTATTTGGGCCAATCGTTCAAGGAAGCCACATACCTAACATGTCCTCAGATACAGGTGTGCGTAAGATATCACCAGTAAATTCACATGTTGTAAATTTTGCATCAATACCAGATGTGCCTTCAAAAACCTAGTGTGAAAAATAAAAAATATTGGGGAAAAACAGAAAATACATAATATCTGGGGTAGCACCAGTGGGGGTAACACACTTCGTCTGGGGAAAAAATTAAAATTTTTTTTTTTTTTTACATAAAATCGAATAAATTGCCTTCGCCTCTTGGACCACATCCAAGAGATTTTGAGCAACGACCAACCACGACTGCTTACACTCAGGTAGTCCGGGACATTGGACCCCCATCAGGCTAATCCTGGCACCACCCCTGCATAATATTCACAAAAGCAAATTTTCCTTTGACAGAATACCTTAAAGGTCCTCTCATGAAATAAATTAAATAGTTTTTAAAAAAATGCTAAATGTACATGATTGAGCTTATGGATACTCTGATAAAATTGGTTCATCATTCATTACTTCATTACCTGAACAACGGCCTTTGACCCACTGACTTCCAATACCTGTCCACTTCTCTGTGACCCATCAGCTAGTGTTAAAGTAACAATTTCAGCAAACTTTGGAAACTGCAAAGAATGTTTTTTAAATTAATATGGTAACGTTCTAACTAAATTATTTTCAAATATTTTGACACATCAGTCAGTCGAAAAAATCAAAATAGTCAGAAATAAAAATTCTAACCTTATATTATAAAATTACTGTCAAATATACTTCTAAATAGTTTATTCTTATCCTTTATTTTGCAAAACTCTCTTTATATGTTTGTATCTAACATATAACAACTTTCATATCATCATCATTTATTTCATTGTATCATATATATTTTTGAATAAACGCCCCTGGGCATATATTGTTGAGGAGGGTTATTTTACTGAATGTGTTTTTTTAATAGAATGTGTTGGAATTGTTGTTGCGTCCATTAGGTTTGTTCACAGTGATTTTGGGATGGGGGCGTTTATTCCAAATGAAGCTCTAGAATGGAGAGTTTTTTCAAGGGGGAGGGGGATGATTCAAAGCTGGGCATTTATTCAAATAATTATGTATATGAATTGAAAGAATATTCAGGTGTATTTAAAAGCATACAAACCTTAACTTGGTCAAGAATGACGAGAGGACCATTCACACCAGACACAGTCTTGTAGGCTGAAATTTAAATACAGTTGGTATTTGATATTTGTTGTTTTATGTTATTATTTCGGGTTGATTTCTTTGCTGAAAAAACTCAAATCACATTGGCTACTGCTTTATAAAAGTCTAATTATGATGGTTCTTTCTATAATACTTGAAAGGTCTTTTTTTTTTTTTTATTAATAATTGCTATAGGTCTAAGCACTCATGTATAGGAGCCTAGGTCCTTGAATAAAATAAAGAGCAAATAGAAAAGGTGATTAAAAGAAGTGGAATGACCTGGGCCACAAAAAAGAGAAAAAGAAATGCATTTTTTCATCATATTCTGCACATGGAAGTGAATTCGTATGATGATTAACAAATGGATACATAAGTATGGGGGTTTACCAATATTTTGGTGGTCTAACTAAAAAAGCACATACAACCATGAATCAACATTTGTATATTTTTAAGAGAACACCCTGATTCTTAATCTATTATCATTATTAGATTTTCAGAAAGAATAAAAGTATTCATTTACAAAAAAAAACAATGATTTACATTGGTGGGTTGGTAGGTAGTAGTGGTATGCAGTATTGTACAGTGGAATGCATGCGCCGTTTTTAGTGAGGCCCACATTTTCGGATAATCAGTTTATTAGTTTTCAGCCACAAAATTCTATATCATTTTATCCAAATCAAAGAAAGCAAATGATATTTATAAGGACTTCTTGTAAAAAATATCTTTTATATTGCTGGTAACATACAAATACTCTATATTGGCAAATCAGCATATTACATAAGATAAAATACAAATTGAAGTTTAACAAAATAAATATATATAAAAATCAGGATTTATAGATTTTGTTATTTCAGGTACTGAGGGATTTTTTTAATAGTAAGACTTAGTATACTGTTTGATTTCTCTTTTTATTGTGTCAAGAATTTTTTGAAATGTTCAAACCAATAAAGAAATAATTAATTAGAAGTACAATGGCATATTTTCTTGATGCATTAAAATTACATCAGAAAAAAAGCACATTCATATGTTCTTGAGTTTAAAGTGTATGTTGGTCGGAAGTGGTTATTTGCAGGCTGTCACATGATTCAGTGCAGAACCTCAACTTGGCTGACAAGAGATAACTACACTCACTAAATGTGAGTTTAGTTAGGCCCACTACTACTATTATGCCTACAACTCTTATTAGAGGGCCTAGAAGGCTAGCCATAGGCCATCGCCTAACCTTTCTTTCACAGTCACTGTTAAAAATATGTTTTTTTTTAGAAGATTCAAGATAATAAATAAAGGTGCTGAAATGAAAAATGCAACAACAGCGCCTTAACATATTACAGTAGATTCCCTATGCATACCTACATTACAAGCATACAATTACTACAGGCCTAGGTCTGCCTAAGAGAGCGGCACCAGTCAAAACTAGACATCTACTCTACTTTACCTCTACTCTAGGCTAGCCCTGCTTCCCACCACACCGCGCAATCCCAATCACTGAATCAGTGCCTACCCTAACCGCCGACCGGTCCGAGCCCACTTGTGAGAAGCCGGGTTGCGAAAACACACGTTTTTATACGACAATTGCACAATTAATTTCAAAATTTAATAACCCAAAATACTTACTTAATCTTGGTTGAGTGTTATAGTTTCTGCTAGCTGCTAAGAAGTTTTCTCGGGTAGCTTCCACTGTAGTTCTTGGGACTTCTAATCCCATTAAATTGCCGTTTACCATCGCCATCTTCTATTTTTGCTCAACAGGGAGAGAGACGAGTCACATGATGCGCGTGACTTTGTTCCAGTCGTTTTGTAAAGGATCGCCTCCCTCTATATCTATTTGTATTTTATTTCTATTGTAATGTTGAATACTAAATTATGTATCGTAACATTATATTTTTTTCTGATTTCTAATTTTCTTTTTTTAATTGCACTAAATTTTCATATAGCTCTCGCCTAGGCATAGCTAAGCTTCATTTTTCTCTTGGACTCCATTTTGTTAGAACCGTACGCAAGTCTAATTTAACTTTTTAATCTATTGAGGGCGTTAACCATATTCAACTCTATTATAGCAAGGACTTTATAGTTGTTTCCTACCACCCCTATTCAATTAGATGGAGAGGAATATTTTTCCATGTGGCTCTTTCCTTGGGAGTATATTGTAACCATTTAACTCTCATTGTCTTAAATCTGGTATTAATAACCGGTCCCTCAAGCACATCACCGTATAAGGATTTCCTACTATATTTTCTGGCTTGGAGTCCAACAGAAACGAAAATATAATAATCTTAATAACCATATGAAACAAAATCTGTTATAAAAGTAAGTTAAGACAAAGCAAATGGCATTGAATAACTGTAGCTTTTCCGAGAACAGTAGGCCTATTAGTTTTATTGTTTATCTCCAGCTAGCCTATTAAAAATCGTATCCATTTATAATTGTTTTTCAATCCATTATTTCTTTCACAGAGTTTGCGGTAATTGCCTATCCAATATAATATTATAAATTCTTAAAAATGTCAATGATACTTCGCTAATTTATTTCACAATTGTTGTCTCTTCTTTTATGACCAACCATTATTCTATTTTATTTGGCACTATTAAGACAAAGACATGAAAATTGACATAAGAATATTATATTCTGATTTCAAAATGTTTTAAAATTTTCATTAAATTATCTTGTATCCCTAGCCCGTGACGGGATCGAAAATTGCTAATTCGCCTACAGACAATTGCCGAGTGACCCAGTTCTTATCCGAGATGTCATGTTCCAACTCCAGAACCATATGCGGGCCAGTGCCGATTATTATAGCCGTAGTTGCGGCTCCCCCCTGCTTTAACCTCATTTGACTTCCAAAGTGACCATAATAATGCCCGCGGGCGCGCCAGTACGTGCGTGTGCGCGCCGATTTAGGCCCTATAGCTGGTTGCTGCGTCCCTGCCTTAGCATTTTTGATATACGTAGAAATGAAGAGATTAAAACTGACACAAAGACACTTTAAATATGAAAAGTCTAATAATATTTCCGGTCAGCCATTTAGAGTTATCTCCCTACATTTTTTAGTCTCAGCCCGGGCCCAACCATGGTGGCATTTAGGTACATCGTTATTTTTTATTTTATTTATTTATTTTTGCCTCATCCAACGATATGTTGAGGTGAGTAAGACTCTCCTTGTATTTTCCATTCCCTCTCATATTTTTTTTTACAAAATATTTGATGTAGGCCTATATGAAATTGAGTGTTAGTCCATGTTATTAGTCTTAGTGTCAAATTAAGACACTTTTAATGTTTGAGTTTGCTATTTTCGAGTTGCCACACACCCTTCTTACATTTTTTTTTCAACTCAGCATAATAAAAACTTTCCCCCTATTTTCGACAAAAACTCATTCAGGAATTAATTTGACCTAGGCCTACATCTTATGCATCTCATGTCTGTTTTCCCAGACTGGGTTCCCTGCCGTGTCGGGATTCAATATTTCGACACTAATTATGCCCTTTTGGTACTTGGCCCCGCCCGGGGCCCCGCCTCTCAAACTTTAATACTTCCCTGATAAATAAATCTAGGTACGGGCCTGTGTCTGAGAAATGACATATCGAAAGAATTTTTCCGTTAGTTAGGCCTACATTTTGTTAGCACGGTGCGCATTAAGTCTAAATTAACTTTTCTATGTATATGTTCCTTGGCTTGAATAATTAATGACATCAAAGATAATAAATAGCAGAAGACATAGCAGCTTCCCAATATAGTGGAACATCCGTTCGAAATTGTGGGTATACGGACGGAGAGCAATTTTACGCCGTCCACACGGCGGCGCTATATATCAATAATAAACAGCTCTGTTTATTCGATATATATAACGCCGCCGTGCGGACGGCGTAATTGCTCTGATAAGAAAGGCACCGCTCGGGTTCGTTTGTTTCCTGTATTTATATTTATTTATTCAACAACTGAACATACACTTTTGTTTTAGTGGCACATTGGTGCGTTCAGCGAGAAAGAAAAACAACTAAACTAAAAGTTAAACAAAACAATTATACAATAACAGTATACAGTACTGTATTGGTGTTAAAGCAAAACCCACTAAATAAAAAACAATTACTGTAGTAATACTAATTTTTTTTTAAAGTTAACAAATTATTACGTTATTAGGATACAGTACAGATAAGCACATTAAAAAAAACCCATTTCAAATCAAAACACAACAACACAAAATATGATGTAGAGGCTGCACTAATAATGACCTTTCTTTCCACAGGTTTTTAGACAAATGATTTGCTAAATTTATCAATTTCCACAATAATTTCATTTTTATATAATTCATTTTCATTGCCAAGAATAAAACATACCTTTTCTATAATATTAAAGGGTTAAATTTATCTCATTGGAGATTATTTTTAAAATGTAATATTTCCATCCTTCTAATGTTTTCAAGAACTTTAGTTTCCCCACTTAGTGAAATGGGCAAATATTACCCCGCTCGCTGGAGGGCGGACGTTCCATTTTTTAATGCAAATTCGCGGAACAGCTCATTTTCTTCTGCTATTTACGTTCTTTGACATTACCTGTCAGATTTATGCTGCTGTAGGTACATCAACAACCAGCTAGAAAGTTTACGCTTTTACATGCCTTTTTTGCAAGGTAATTGTTATTTAGCTGTACAACACCATTTTACCTAAATCATTCATTTTCATGTATATTTCAAATTAGATTTGTTGGAGTTAACTATGGTAGGAATTTTATCAATTATGATGACTGAACTACTTGTTGGATTTTTTCTGTAGACCTCAGGTGTCAGAGGAATTTGAATAGATAGGGTCAGGGTACAGTAGGTATGAGGCCTAGGCTAGGGAGCGAGTCGAGGTCGTTGTTTAAATTTCATGAAAACAACTTTATGAGATTGTAGTTTGAATCCACTAGCACTTAAAATAGACTATGAGTTATATATGTACACGAAGTGCAATTGAAATGGTCAGTTACGAGTTACCGTGTTTTTAAGGAATTCCTCCACATGATGTAGGCGCCCACCATATAATATAACTCTTTTTAAAAAATGGTGTTCTTGAGCAACACGACTGTCCGGCGCCTGTAGTCATTAGACATTACTAAGGAGTCATTAGTCAAGGCCCTAGGGATCCAAAGTGCCCATAAACAGTCTTTTTACAGAAGGTGGGCCTGTTAGCTGGACCTCACAAGCTAAATGAACATGGAAGAAATAAAAAAACAATTTAGAAAAACGCTGTGGCTAGAGTTACAGTACTGTATCTTATTACTTAACTTCCGTTTGCTAAGGTACGGTAAATTGCATTCTCCGCCACCAGCTTGACAGCTTTCTGGTCAAAACAGCAATATGTAAAAACGACAATGACCAAAACGGCAAAAAACCAAAATGGCAACACTTTTTGACCAGGACGGCAATGGACCAAAACGTCAATAAGTCAAAATGGCAATAGGCCTAAAGTCAAAACGGCAATAAACCAAAATGGTCATGAAAGTTTTCTTAAAGAATTAAAATATATTTTCAATGTGGCCCTACATAAAACCAATTATAAACAAAGTGTATACGGTAAAACATTGCTAAATTGTCATAGAAGTAAAAAATGTAAAAAGAACGACAACAAGCAATAATAATAATAATAATGACAATAATTAAAAAATAGTAATAATATTAATATTAATTAATGATAACAATTAAATTAGTAATAACAATTAAATAACATACAAATTCAATAATAAAAAATTGAGGGAAACACAATATAAAAGCAGTAAACATTTAAGTAAATAAAACTTTCAAATACAGACAAAATGAGGCTATTTATATCATAAAAGTAAAAAAACGTGAAATAATAATAATATTAATAGCAATAATAAAAACAATAATAAATAACACTTTAAATATAGACAAAATGAAGCATCTAAATAATTTGTCATAGATGTGTAGAGAAAAAAACACGCTATTAAACATTAAAACATTCAAAGTGGGAAAAAGAGTATTCGATTTGCCTATTGGAACAACTTCAAAACGATTCAGAAAATTATTTTGCCATAGTTTCTTTCCAGTTGTTCCTTCAGGGAATTGACATGCACTTCTTAGTTTTTTCCATGCAAACTGGATCTCTGTGTGAAATTTCCCACTGTCAGGATAATATGTGTTTTGCAAAGTATGTTTAATTTAATTATTTTGTAACAATGAATTTAATACAATACTATCTAGAGTTATAAAATAATACAGTTCTGAACTTCTGTACTGATTACTCAACATTTTATACTGTACATTACATTTATTTATATAATCCAAGCCTTTGACATGACTCTGTATCGCTTTATTAGGCTAAATATACAATTGGTAGGAGCATTAATTAGTACCATGGCATATAGTAGTCTATTGTACAACATATTTTCAAAAAATATTTTAATTTATATGAAACCCCTTGATTTCAAAGAGTAAGTAAAAATAGTTTTACTATGGTTACATCTCAATTTAAATTGAAAATCCATTCATCAAACATTTTTAATAGAAGATCTTATATTTTTCATGTGTAGTCTTTGCATATTAAAGTTAAAAAAAAAATTATGATGATGAATTTTCAATAGTTGGATGTGTTGTTAATAATAAACATGAATTTTGTATTATTTTCACTTCTATAAAATCCATCCCATGTGCTGTCAAGTCTGTGGAGGTTTAAAGAGGTGACATGACTAGGCCTAGATAAAGCTACCCTGATTACTAATGTCGGTAAACATATCCTGTTGTTTTGAGGGCAGCCAAGTAACAAACTTTGACTGCTTTGACAACATATATTGTTTACTGACTACAGATCTAACATGGAAGGAGCCTCCACAATGTTTTAAAACTGAGTTGATGGACTAATCTCTAAATTGTCACATTTAGTAGTTTCCTCAACAGAGGTGTGTACTTTCTCGTATCTATATAGTATACCGCCCTAACTCCCATCATAAACAATTGTCATTCATTCAGATACTCTATTGTTTCACTTGTTAATTGGCCTTATTCGTCAGCACACTACATGGGCACCCTATTCAAACATTGTTCAAAAGAATAAATAATTAATAAATTATGACGTGTATTTATAAGTTCTGTAGTTAGCATCATCTTCACAAACCTTCTAACTGTCACAGTCAGCTGCCAGTGAAAAGCTGTATGGTCAACAATCAACCATTTTTTTCCCAGTGGCCTTTTTAATACCATTTTTTTTTTAACAGTAAGTTTTGATTTTGGAAGGTGAAATATGGCAGCAATATTTTACACTGAAGATGTGACTAAGCTGTTGAGAAATTCATTTGTTGTCATTATAGGGGACTCGAGTAAGTACACATTTAAAAATTGCATTCAAAGTTAACTTTAGAAAATTTATTAAAGATTGGTCTGTGTAAAACTCAAAATCTTTGGGATTCGAATTGGTGCTAACAATTACATCAAAAGAATAATGGGTTGGGGATCAGATTGTTTACATTGGTGTATCTGTGTTTTTGTGTGTCATTGAATGTTGATATTCCATTTGATTCTATTCATGTTTTAATTGTATTTTTGTGGGTTTTCTTTATTTTACTGTTAATAAATACAGTAATTTTTGTAAATATCTTTTTTAACTAATTAAAATCTGTTTTGTTTGTATGTTTGTTTTTCATATTTTAGGTTTATAGTAGATATGATTTAAGTTTAAAAATGCCTTGTGATTTTGTATTTATAATTTATATATTCTAATAGTGTTATTTAATTATTTAAGGGACAACTGGCTCATCTAAGTTATAGCAATGTATTTTACTTATGTTGCTCCTGTCTAGCATTTCAATTTTTTACATAATATATTTTTATTGTTATTATAAATGTTGGTCGAATGAATAAATTAAATGAATAAATTTAATTTGAATAAATTCATTTTATTTTCTAGTTTGGTACCCATAGCATTTGCTATTGTAATTAAATCCTAGTTTTAAGATAATTTTTGTCTACATCTAATCATGTGTTAATCATTTCCGTAGATCAGCGTGGCGTGTATAAGGATCTAATATTGTTACTCCAATCCAATCGCTACCTTACAGATCAGGAACTCAAAAGCAAGGTAGTATCAAATAAATACAGATTTTGCAGTATCTGTAGTTAGCATAGTGGCTCCTGTCTTCATTCTTGAGGTCAGGGTCAAACCCCACATTGTAAATTTGGATATTACTGGTCTGGGAAAGTTTTTCTTTACACTTTTTTTTTGTTATAAGAACCAGGGAAAGTTTGCACAGGCTTAGTGTTATATTTTTTGCTGATTTCAGGTTTAAAATGTTCTTGATCTATTCTTATTTTCACACACTTTTCAAACATTGAAAATTATTAATTGTACAGTAATATATTACTGTACTGTGTTATATAGAGGATATTATACTATAACATAGTCACACGGCCTACAGAAAATAAGTTAGTTTGTTCGTCTTTCTATTATTTTAAAGTGAAAACCTCATTTGACATTGTACCTAAGCCTTAATTTGTTCTGATTTTGTTCTTAATTTTTATGCAATTTCATCCTCAGTGTTCTTGCTTGTATTTTCAAAAAAATAGGATCTAAAAATTAAGGATAGCCATTGCAAACCCAGTCGTCGTCACTACGTAGGCCACCCTATTCACATATAAGTATAAAACAAAACATATTTTTTATATCTATTGTATTTTTTATGGCGACCCTGTTTTATGGTGTTTGACACACTGTTGGGTCTTGAATAAATAAATAAAAAATATATAAACAAGTGGAAAATTATGCAATTTATACCATATTTAAGTGTAGTTATTCAAGTGTAGTTTAATTAAATATTAAAACAATACAATTAAATTAAAAAAAATAAATAACTAAAATACAGTATATGAATAAGTGTGGAGCACTACTTTCAAATAAGATCTGTCATGTTAATGCATGGCAATGTTATGTCAACTGATGCATGTCAGTCAATGATAGCCATGTATGTTTTCTATGAAAGAAAAAAGCTATGTATGAAGACAAAAAGTACAGTATAAACATTTAAAGGCTCAGGCTCATTGAGGGAGGAAAAAAATACCCTGATTGTGTGGATTTTTTGGCTGGGTGCACAGTCAAACATTTTTGTGACAACAATACCCCTGGTCCTTACCATAGAGGCACTTGCTATGGAGTTCAGTTCTCTTAAGTTTTCACTCTGGTAATCATTCATTTACAGGGTAGATAATCAATCAAATAAGAGCAAAGAGGGCTGGGGGTGCCCTGAACATCAACTGGTCTTTGGGTTTGGCTGGAAGGCAACCCCCATCTATGAATGAAGTTTAAATAAAATTACCCACACATACAGTAAGACCTAAGTTGAAAAAAGCTTAAAATATTACATTTTAATAGGCCTATGTATAATTAAGGTACCTTGGTACATGCAGATATACATAGCAAACCTACATTTCATGTATTTATTGTGGAGCCAAAATGAAAATATTTAGATATTAATGATATCACCTTGAAAAGATTAAGCTTTTATTAACTAGGAATCACAGCATTCCAAACAGGAGTTCTATTAGGCTATAAATTTAATTTTCTTGTATTTTCTATAGGGTGAAAACTCATGTCTGAATGATGTCCAATTGGAACAGAGTACAATGTCCAATGGGACAGATTATAGGGAAGTCAGAGAGTACAAGACAGATTACCATTGGATCAGGTAGGTTTTTGTTTTATATAGACCAAGAAGATTGATGTAGACTTCTGTAATTACTGGCTGTGGCCTAGGGTAGTGTGCCTCTGGAAAATCCTCCGGGACACCTAACCTGGTTAGTGGGTCACACCTACTGTCGCAATATATCTGTGTGGAAGGTTAAATTTAGTAATATTATACAAATAATGAATGTTTGTCAGCGCAATATGGGAAGAATATTTTCATGAGGAGAAAGATTGACTCTTACATTCAACAAGCCTGAGCCGAGTTGAATGGAACAATCGACCTTTCAAGGAATGAATATATTCTTTCCATTGCGCAGATAAAAAACATTCATTTATTTGTTTTTTAACAAACCTAAAATAGATTCTTGTCATTTGATATTTAATGAAACAAAAATCTACCTTTTTCTGAATAGAACAGTCCAGCATCTTTTTAACCAATGAAAAGATTGTATTAATTTAAAGTCATCTTGTATCCTGGGCACTGTGTAATGGAGCACAACAGATGGAACGAAAATGCAAAGATTGAAGTAACAAAGTGCACGGTGGAACTAAATATTGATTATGAATGACGAAATAGTGTAAATAACCAATGTTAAGGAACTATTTAGGTGTGTCATAGAAATAACTAGTTTGACCAGCAAGTCATCAATGGGTTTAATGTGTTATGAGTTGCATTGAAGTAACAACTCAACATTCTATACATTTTTTTTGTCGATGTTTTTATACCTCCATGGTTTTTGTCATATACTTTGACAGTGTTCTCCCCAGGGCAATAAGCTCATTCAGAAAACAAGTTTACCTGTACAGCTTCGTTCAGAAAACAAGATTTACTGATACACCTTGTAGTATGACTGGTAAATGTTCTGTTTATCAATTGTTTATACACAAGCTGTACATATACAATTTCAAAATACAAGGAAAATGCACTGTATCTTTCCGTAAATTTGACATTAACAGAGGTTAAACTGTAAATTCATTGAGCCTACATCACTCTTTCTATTTAACTTTTTCAATTGTGTTCCATGACATAAGTTTTTATGTGTTCTATTTCTAAATAAACATCAACAACTTTGGACATTCTAGTCTAGGTAGTGAAAGTTGTTGGCCCTCATCCAAAAAACCAACAACAATCACACACCAGTGGCACTAGGTGAAAGTTCGGCCATGTGGCTTTCTCTCTTTGTGCGTAAATTTTTTCTTAAACTTGCTTTCTAATTTATTTAAATCTAAATTATTATGTCTACGTGGTAATAGATAAATTTCTAAACAATAAAATGTTTATTAATTGTTGTTTTAATTTTTTAATGAATTATTATTAATGTATTACTAGTACATGCAAATTTGCTATGTCAAAAAGCACTGCCACACATGTTTGGCTGTGGTATCTCTCAGTCTATTGTCATGGTAACCAAATGGGTA